GTATGTATTTTCCCATCCCAATACAGCAGTAAATCAAATTTTTCTGATTTAATTTATGCAAAACTTTAAAGCAAAACTACATGTACAAGCACATCGTGTGTATTTCCCTCCATTATTCTCTTACCAGTCTCAGTCCTCTCCCAATGGCGGCATGGACTGAACACAGGTAGCCATTAGTGTCCTCATATACTTCAGCAGACCAAAGGGCACAGTTAACATGAACCCACTCATCCATTCCACCACACGGGAGGAGCCTACCAGCATCCTAATTAATAAATATTAATAATATATTAATTAATTAATAGGGTGTGGTTAACTCACAGTTGAAGATTGATCTCCTTTTAAAGTGCAAAGTAAGCAAAATCGATTATCAGCAGGCACATCTTTTCCCACTGTCCCTCTCTCCTCCTCCTCCTCTTCTTTCCTTTTGCCCTCTTCTTGTTTGATGGTTCCTTTTTTGTCATGTGACACGTAGCAATGATCATGTGATACTGAGGACAGCCTAATAATAATAATAATAATAATGAGGGGGTGAGACTTAAGCTCAAATTTACATGTAATTTTATAGTTCTCATATGCTCATAACTTGGAAATTTTACTCCGGAATCAGTTCAAACTTTTTACATAGCATAAGTACATCAATATGTATCAGAAAATGTAATTAAAATTGGGGGTGATTTCGGAGCCATTTTTTGGAAAAAAAACATGGGCTATAGTACAGGGAAATTTTCAGGAATTGGCTCATTTCTAAAAATGGCCATAACTTGAAAAATTGAAGTCGGAATCAGCTCAAACTTTCTACACAGCATAAGGACATCAATATGTATCAGAAAATGTAATAAAAATTTAGGGTGATTTCGGGGCCATTTTTCGGAAAAAACCATGGGCTATAGTACAGGGAAATTTTAAGAAATTGGCTCATTTCTAAAAATGGCCGTAACTTGAAAAATTAAAGTTGGAATCAGCTCAAACTTTCTACACAGCATAAGTACATCAATATGCGTATAGATGTGTATTTTATTTTGTACATACCAGTTCTCAATATCATTGATGTCATCAGCAATGGGCGTGTCAGTGGGAGGAGCTTCATTCTTCACAGCATCACTCATCTCCATATTGAACCATGGAAACAGCTTCTCAAGTTCCTGCTCATACCAGTTATAAAAAACACTCTTAATAACTAGTCTGAGCGTCATACCTTGTTATAAGATTGTTGTGATGAGAAGAGAAGTCTGTGTTTATGAGAGCCAGTCTTGATACCAGAGAAACACTTTGACAGCTGCTCACTGATCCTGTTAGCAAACTCATTCACTGAGAGGAGAGGAGTCAGAACGTTGATATCATTGACCCATATCGGTCCCAGGGCTGTCTTTATTGATGATATCATCTGAAATACATAGAAAGAAGTGATTAATATACATATATATGTACATGTACATGTACACTGGTGTGGTGAAATTAATCTTAAAGTTTGGGAAAATTTGGTAATTTTAGAGCCAATAAAACTTATAAACTTCCTACAATTTTGAGCATGCAATATATGAAAAGTTGGCCACAAAATTTAGAAAATTCACTAAATTTTAACCCTCAAAAACAAAATAATATAATTTTGACTAACCTTCTCATAAGCTTCATGTTTAAATCCATTAACAGCTGCTCTCCACTCCACCTCCTCCTCCTCCTCTCCCTCCCCCTCCCTCCTCCTCTTCTTATCCTCCTTCACTGTCCTGTTATAAGCAATACACAGTCTACAGACATACTCAACACTGTCGGGAAGGTCTGATAGTATCTCATACTCCTCATCTAAAGTAGGTGTGGTTAGGGGTGGAGTTTAGGTATGGGTGTGGTTACCTGTCATGTTCTCACAGTGAGAGTGGACCCAGTTATCACACTGACTGCATTGGACCATCTGTGGGGGCGTGGCAGTTAATTAACTAGTTTTAATAACAAGTTTACCTTTGAGTCAAAGTCATTGTCAAGGTAACACTCACCGCACACTGGACAGCTGTTACCTGATGAAAAATAAAATAATAACGTACATGTACATGTATCTGTAATTCTGTATGGTGTCAATAAAGTTCATTTTTAAATACACGTACATGTTACATGTACGTGTATTTAAAAACAATTACATGTGTAAATGTATTATAGTCATTAATTTTAGTGTTTTTGATCTAAGATACCTTTAGCTTTCAAGACGATACAGTCACTGCAATAGCAGTATCCATCTGACCATTGTGTGGGCGTGGCTAATAATGATGATAATAAGGACCTACCAGAATCATCAATCTAAACCAAAAAGGGGAGGAGTCAATAATAGAGACCACGCCTGCCACGATTACCTTATTTGGCATGTTGCTATGGCAACTGATACATTTAGTACATGTGACACATTTCCAAACTCGTTTGTTGTCAGTGCGTGGGCGGGAGGTGTGGCCTAACAGACAATCCTCGTGATACCATTCATTGCACTCACAGCATCTGACGCACTAAAAGAATATACAAGAATATACAAGAGTATACAAGAATATACAAGAATCTAGTAAAATATACTAACATTATCTATTATAAAATATAATACTATACTATACTAAAAGATTACGAGAATATACTAAAAAATATCCTAGAATATCCTAACCTTATTTGGCTTCCCACAGATTCTACAAGTGATGCACTGCTGACAGGTGAAAGTGGGTGTGGTCTGAGGTACATTAGCACAGAACCAGTGGTAGGGCTGGCAACAGATCCTACAGTAGAGGAAGGACTCAGAGCCAAGACTACCACACCTCGTGCAGAGAGGGAGAGAGGGAGGGAGGGAGGGAGAGAGAGAAGTGGTGTAGACTGGGTAACCATATTCAATACTGTCCTGTATGGAAGAAAAATAATAATAATAACAATATTCTAAAATCAATAATAGATGTATTTGTCTAAGAATACTTTTAATGCCAAAATTACAGACCACAATTTGGCTCACATGTGCTCCACTAGAACAGAACAATTATACTTGTACTTATCAATTATAAACTTTACGATAAACGACATACTTTACAATAAGAATCCATGTGTGTACATGTAATCCATAAATCAAGGCATTAATTGTTAATTAATTAACACGGTTAATCATACAAATCAGACTATATTACTAATTAAACTCACAGCTGGAGGCCAGTACAGCTGTATCACTGGCTGATTGTCTTTGGTCTTGCTTTGTGATGAGGGAAGGATACGACGAGGCCTTAGGGAACTGGGCATGGGACCACCTCCTCCATCCTCTCTTAGTGGACGCTTTGAAGGAGGAGCATGAGAATCTGTAGAAATATAAGAAGTAGTTTCACCTCTCTCTCTCTCTCTCTCTCTTCTTCTCTCTTTACCTGAAGATTGAACTCTTTTGTTTGATTGAGAAGACTTGACAGCAGCTTCACGAAGTAGATTCAAACACTTTCTATGACTAGTAGCAATAATAAACAAATAAATAAATAAACAAACAAATAAATAGACTCACATGCAAGCTTGCTTTCTGCTCCCTGGGCCTCCAAACTTTGGCTTGTCACTAAAAAAGAGAAACAGAGAAGTTACTACACGCATGTTTTGGCAATTGATCTAAATCTACTAATTATTATCATTACAATCCACCAATCAGTAATGTACATGTACATGTACATAATAATGTACAAAAACAACAAAATTAATTAAAAACTGCCAAATGTATTTCATATTTAACAAATTATAAAAACAAAGCACTCTCTATAATACAGTAATATAGTACATATAACATCCAGTTATACATGTACATGTACACAAAATTATTTCATCATTTCAACTCACAGGCAGTTGGTACACTTCCCGCAGTCGTTCTCTCTCAGGCACGCCTTGCACTCCAGGCACCTCCTCCGCCTCTTGAGTAGCCTGACGGGGGAGTGGTCATCACTGAGGGCGGGGTCATCGTTGGGGGTGTGGCTGAGGGCGTGGACTCTCTTTGAGGAAGAGGGAGAGATGAAAGGAAGAGAATCGAGAGAGTCTGTCTCCATTAGTAGACCATTTTCTAAAGGAGCACCTTCTTCTTTCTTATGTTCAGCGTTTTCAATATCTTCAATTGTAAAACCTTCCCAATCACAATCCTTTAAAAAGTAATAAATTAATTAATAAATAATAATAATAATGACAATCAATTAATAATAATAATAACATACATGTACATGTTCATACACATGTAATTAATATCAATTAATAATACAATAAATACGTTATTAATAAATTATGATATTGCCAGTTTTCCAATTTTAATATAACGTAAAGGTAGGCGATCATAATAAAAATTAATTAATCAATTAATATAATAATGAATATTTAATTAGATGGTGTGTACATGTACATGTGTACCTCATCGTCTGAAGCTCCGAAGGTTTTAGAAAAAGAGAGTCTAAGCGTCCCATTCTTTCTCTTCCCCAGTAGTGAACTCTTCTTGCCTTTATCATCACGAGTAGTCTCTCTCTTGTTGTTCAATCGAGTCTTCAGTGCTATTTTCTTGGCTCCTGATAGTTTCTTTGAGTGGAGACGAGGCTTCTGATTCTCCCCGGGGACCTTCAGCTTTGGCATGACGGAGCCAGGAGAGAAAGAAAGGGTTTAGTGAAGGAATAGTTACGCGCCTCTCTATGGCGGATAAATGCAGTGATCACTGGGTTAAATATTTAGACCACGCCCATCTTACATTAAGGGTGGGGCTGGAGTCTTGCAGCAGCAAGCAGACCAGAAACCATTTGCTGTAAAGAATCAACTCGAGAAGGCCCTGGAGAGAAAGGGAGAATGTAGGGCCTTAAAATTAGTGAGAAAGATGAGCACATAGCAGAATGGACAATAGAATAGTGGAAGAAGTAAATCTCATTTAGTTGTACATGTACATGTACATACATGTATACATGCATGACAGAAGCTTTAAAATTAATTGGGGTCAGCTCACACTACGTAACTAAATGCATGTATATGCATCAGAAAATTGTAAAAGTGGAGAATTCTCTCCTTTTATCTTTACTCAAATTCAGCCAAAGTCGCTTTTGAAAAACTTTAAAATTTTGTAAAAAATCCGAAGTTAATCGGAATCAGTTCAAACTTTCTATGCAACATAAGTACATGTATATGCATCAGAAAAAAAATAAAAAATAAAGGATTCTCTCCTTTTCATTTTTTTGCAAAATTGGCTAAAGACCCTGCACTATAGTACAGGGTCTTTGCTGTATACTTTCATAATAATGTTATTCTGTTCATTCTTATGGTATCATTTTATTAAGATTAATTTTATAAGCATTTTATGCAATGATGTAATTCTTTACACAATGCTCTCAAAGCAATTGAGAATTGAAGCAGTTAATTCCTGGTCCACCAGTACTCTTAAGTAGTGTATCATCTGATCCTTGTATATCATCATTACTTTTGTACTGAATAATGATAATAATTGTTATAACTTTCTATATTATAGTAGTTTCTAAACCACTTTAAGTTAAAATGGCTTGTGGTGAAGATGGGGCTAATCAGGAAGGATTCTTAAAAGGAAGAATACCAGTTAAAGGATGAGTAGAGCCTGTAGAGGAGGAAAAGACTGAGAAAGAAAAGGACATCTAAAGCAAGATAATGGCGCTGCTTTATTTATAAATAAATAACACATCGCACAGTGTAATAAATTAATTTTCAATCCACATTATTATGCATGAACTACTCATTCACTGTACATTACAGACATAGGGTAATAGTAATAGATAATAGTAATAGTAATAGTAAAGATTACATGTTTTGAAGTAATAGTAATAGTAATAGTAATGGAGGAATCAAAAAACAAAGTAATAGTAATTGTAATAGTAGGAGACAGTTAAGTAATAGTAATACAATAGTAATTGTACATATTGTAATACATTATTGTACAAGTATTCAATGTACATGTACAGGTACATGTATGTGCATTCAAGTCTGTCTGCTCTGACAAAAGGTTCATCTGCTCCAGTGGTATTCAGTATAGGAGGGAAATTTTTTGGACTGGAACGATGCAGACTTTCTGATACTGTTTTAGAGAAGCTTATAAGTATAAAATGTAATGGTCGTTTGCTTTAAAGAGAATTGATTTGAAATTATAATGTAATCGTAATATAATTAGATTACATTTAGTCTTGCATATGCAGTAATAGTAATAGTAATAATGAAATTAGTGGAGTAATAGTAATAGTAATATATTACATTTACATCTACTAAACATGTAATTGTAATAGCAATAGAATTTTTTTCTAGTTAATAGTAATAGTAATATATTACTTTCTAATGTAATTGACCCCATGTCTGGTACATTATACAGGATTCTAATGAGAACTTTTATTGATTGATAATTAATTGATTAAGTTAATTATTATTTATTCATTTGCATTTTGTATGCGCATGCGCAAATGATCAGCTGACCACCTGACCTGATCAGCAAACAACATCAGTCATTCACATACTCAAAGAAGACACTGCACTGCTTCTCCTTTTATTTAGGTAACAACAGTCTCTATACCTAGATTTTTGAATAACTATCAAATTTAGGTGCCTTGGCTTGGGTCTGGAGTGTACTAGTCAGGCGGACTAGGATCGTATCACATTCCAGGCCCGTAGCCAGGGGGGGTGATTAGGGTGACATGTCACCCCCCTTTTGAGTTAGTACCTTTGTTTGTTTGCTTAAATCAAACATGTATTTGTGGTATTTCATGTGCATCCAGTCCAACTTGTCACCCCCCATTTCATGTAACTCATATTTTGTCACCCCCCTTTTTGTAACCCTGGCTACGGGCCTGCATTCAGATAGCCAAACAAAAGGACCGAAGGAGGCAGCGATTGCTGCACTGCTTCTCCTTTTATATTTGTTTAAGGTAACAGTCTCTCTACCTAGATTTTTTTGAATAACTATTAAATCTAGGTGCCTTGGATCTCACAAAAAAGACGGCAAAGACTGGTCTGCTATCTCTGCCGGGGTGACTGTGGATTGAAACTATCTCTGGGCCGGCTGTAACTGAACTATCTCTGGGCCAGCTGTAACTGATGGCTAGAATCAGTGGAGAAGGAAAAGGTGAGAATTATTAGTTCTAATTACATGTAAGGGTATCTAAAGGTGGTTTTTAATCTGAGCCATTGATGCATGCTTCCACAACACTTCCAGTCATGATGCTAGCGTATGAAAAGCAATGCGTAATATTGAGAACTCAGCTGTTTAGAGGGTATCTAAGTTATGATTTGTGTGAGGGTCTGCAACTCCTTTTTTAGTTGTACGAGATTAAAAGCAATTAGATTATTTTGTACTGGGATTGTTTGGAGTTGTGGACCCCCTCAGGTTTGTGATACCACGGCACAGCGTTAATGGCTTGTGTTGGAAAGCACCAGGGACAGTGCTGGACCTCTCCACACTCTGGTTATTGGCCTACGACTTGTTCTACTGTACTGGATGGAGAGAGCTACAGCCACACCCTCCTGTTGATGACATCCGTGCAAGAGCTTTATGAGCTTACGAAACGTGATTCTTTGTGGTATCACAAACACCTCTTAGACACCCTTTCTAAACCTTACCTAGTACATTGTGTATCTTATGGTGTCTGCCTGTTTGATTCCAGTTTTATAGAACCTTACATGTGGGGTAGTCTCAGTTAGCCTGACCCTCCCCCCTTTGGCTCGTTGGTAGGGCTGGGTCTAGCTACATGAGCCTACCTAACAGGCACTGTAAGACTTGTACTAGTCCATTGACATTAATTTCATGAAGTAATGAAATTAGTGACAATGAACTCACTGGTAGCTGGTGGAATTGTATTATCAGAGGAGATGTTCATGTAGTACAAGCAATGTACTTCATGTACATTGTTCATGTTCATGTTCCTCTGTGGAGCCATACATCTTCTATAATGAGGATAGCTTTATAATGAGGGCACCTCTATATAGTGAGGACACCTTTATTATAAGGACATTGTAATGTCCCAATTGGTACAAACCAATACAGAGGCACCTCTAAGATGAGGACACCTCTGTATAGTATATATAATGTCTACCATTGTGATGTATGGCTCCTCCTCAGCTATTTTAAGTTGTTTACATCAAGTTGAGTTAAAAATGGACCATACACAGTCATAGGCAGGCCCGTAGCCAGGGGGGGTTCGGGGGGTTCGGACGAACCCCCTGTTGTAGCTGCAAAAAAGTTTTAGATTAGCTCCTGTCATGAATAACAGCACTGCAAAAGCAGGATTAGCATTTTGGCAACAGCGAGAAGCACAGATAGCCATTTTAGCTGAGTCAGCACATGGCTGAGATGCGTAAATTAACACCACGCCTACCAACCACGCCCATTTATGTCAAAATATTTTGCTTCGCGCGCAGCAATTTCCGAACCCCCTATTTCAAGTTCCTGGCTACGGCCCTGATAGGTGAGACTCAATGTCTCAGACAAGTTGCAAGTACATGTATATAGCAACTTGTAATAATATAGAGTTGCTAGACACAAAGACTACAGCAGAGCATCAGTTCTGTGTCAACATGTTAGTCATATGAGAGTTGATTGGCCCAGTTATTCCTTTCTTGAGTTTTATTGCATTTGAGGAGGTGATCATCCTACCAGTTACTATCCTAGTCCAAGCTGTGTCTTCCATCAGTAGTGGAGCTCTCAGTCCAGCTGCTTCCTCATCCTCCCTTTTAAACAAAGGCCTGGGCTGGGGCTGTTTAATAATTGATCCATTGTCATCCCAGGGGGTTAGGCCACTCCTGTTTACTGGGCTAAAGATTAGATTGCTCCCTAGAGATCCCCACCTCACTGTTCTTTTATAAACTGTCACTGTTTCTTGATGTTACATGGTATCTACTATATCTTCAGATCAGTAAAGAATGTCTTCTGTCTTTGACTGAAGGTGAGTCTTCATGCAGTAAGTCTTTAAAATCCATCATTTGGATCTTTTGTACTTCTTGAAATTTTACATGACATAACTTGTCATAATTCACAGTGGACCTTCCCTTTCATTTGCTTTTTTCCACTGAATATCTTTAGAATACTATTAGTTTTTAAATTCCTCTTTCCTCTAACATGTTATCTCTACTGCTGGTCTATTGCTAACACTCAGTTGTAGTACTCAATGGCCTCTGGACTGTATTGGAAAACGTGTATCTGTCCCTTGTGGGTGAACAGGGAGTGGTCCATCATGTTGGACGTCTTTTTAATTATTTCCTCAGACTTGCAATCAAGGACAGGGGCTACCGTTTTGAGGAAGAATGGAAGAAGGAGGACCATCTTTTGAACGAGAGTTTTTTAGCAAATGTGAAGGAAGCAATGGGAGCATTTTTATTTTCGACAAAGAACATATTTTCTATTGAAAAAATTTTCTATTTTTTATTTATAATAAATTATAATTTTAAAATTATAATTTTAGAATTATAATTTTGCATTTAAATTTTTCCATTTTAAAAATGTTCTGGCAGCATTGTTGGCCTTGTCCTTTAAAGCCACTACTGCAATCCTGTTTTTTTTATCCTTTTTATAAAATTCATGAACCATGAACATACCTCTAATTCTTCATCGGCTAAACATTCCATTTCATAATTTGAAGAATCCCTACAGACTGAAACATAGTTTAGCTCTAGCCACTCTCAATGTACTCCTTTGCAACTATTCTGGATTTACTGTGGGACCGTGAGTCTTCTCTCATTCTACCCAGCTCATCATTCAGTTTTTTATTGGCCTTCGTAGCCTTTAAATTAATTTTTTTTAATTACTACTTAGCCGTCTTCTAAGGGCCCCTAGTCTAGCTTGCCAGGCCCACTGAGGAGTTGTCTACTCCAGTTTATGCCATATACGTTACGTAGTCTCTTATGTTTATACTTGGGCTGATTCGCAAGAATACGGAGTTATCCTGAGGTATACTGCTGCTTACTGCATAATAATCCCTGTACCTAATGGCTGCATCTCTGTTAGTATTAGAGGATATCTTTGATGTTAAAGAGAGTCTCTGACATTTGAAAAGGACATTAGACACTTCAATAGTAGAATTCAAAGTGACTAAAAGAGGTCTTGGAGATGGAGCGTCCTGTCGATAGCGGCCAAGGCGACGACAATCACGGGCATAAACAGGAGGAGTCCCATCAGTGGAAAAATCAGAGAGAATAGCTGAAGCTGCATTAATATCGGAGTTAATACGTGCTGTACGAGGGGTACCAACGGGAGATTCCTCAATGCCAGAGACTATGATGTTAAAACGATGGTGAGATGAGTCCAAGCTTGGAGGTAACCTGGACTGGGGAGGAAGTCGCTCACGAGGATGAGATGTAGAGGAGGGAACATTATTTGGAGATGGTGATAGAGAGCTGGACAAGGCATCAATCTGCTCTGTAAGTGAAGTGATAGAATTTTGGAGGGAGACTATTTCCAGAGATTGAGCTGACAAGGAACTCCGGAGAGACTCGATTTCAGCTGATTGAGCCTCTAGGCGGCAGTGAGGGCACAAGAAAGGTAGAGGAGAGCTATCAAGACAGGAGAGAGCTGCTCGAGAAAGTCCAGCACAGCCCCTGTGAAGCCAAGCAGCACACTTTCCCTCGCACATTATAGATAACTGTGAGCTATCAATGATAGGGTCCTCGCAAATGGGACAGATGCATTCGAGGTCAGAACGGGAGGTCTGCTTAGCCTTGCCTCGAGAACCGGGGGGCTTCTTCTTGGCGTCCACATGAGGAACCTTCTGTCCATTGTTAGAACTGGTAGAGACTGGCCCGTAAGACAGTCTCTTGTTCTTAGCAGGGTTAGTGACTTTATTACTCGCCATAAAGACAAGGTCAGCGAGAGAGAGAGTCTTTGAATCAGACAAATACTTCTTGCCCCCCCCCCAGTGTCTCGCCTCTTTTGTGAGAGTGAGAATTTCAAAATGGACTTGATACTTGACGTCAATACCCAGCTGTACCCTGTGAGTCTTGGAGATAAGTTCCGCCTTTTATTGACTACAACACTTAGAGAAGACGGGCTACTTTGGGAGTGTATGGTCATAGCAGCAGCTCATTCTTTTGTGCTTATTTTTCAAATGATAGTTTTCCCTTTGTAATGACATTTTTCTATTATTAATTTTTCACTTAGCAGAATGGTACTCCTTTGCTGCTGGTTACTGGATTCATCAGCTACTGTAGCTGCAGCTCCTATCACCAGTCAGAGAGGATTCACTGTACAGTAATGGAGGAAACTGAAGTTAGGCCTGGATGATTCCTCTTGAGGTGTTGACTGATCTTTGTATTCCTGCCTTACTCGTCTTGTGGGAGTCTAAAGGATTTGCCCAAGTTATTAAAATGAAAAAAGTTATTAATTGGGGAGGGACATTTTTCACTTTATATCACTTAAAATATTATGTTTCATTTTATAAAGTATCAATATAATTTAAGAAAAAATTTCTTTTTATCTACAACGCCCTGCCCCCTTGAGATATGTATCTATCTTTTAGAACATTCTGGGGATGGGCATCTAATAAATACTTTAATTTCTCTTTGAAATCTGCCACCTTGTGATTGAGTTAGCTCTGGATACAGACTGGGACAGTGGGAGAACAGGAGAGATGACTAATGGCTGGTTGGTAGGAGAGAGGATTGCTCTGATAAACTGAGCCAGCTGGAAATAGCCCATGGTGACCTCCTGGATGTTGGCAGCAGCTCAGACATTGACAGGGGAGGGGATGGAGAGTGATTGTTCCTTCAACTTTTCAATGTCAATTTTGTATTGCTCCTAATACCAGGCCTGCAGAGTTTTGATTGAATCTGTCTTAAATAATTTAAAAATTTAGTTAGCAGCAGTTCCAAATACAATTTGAATTTACAATTATGTACTACATGCACATAATAGTACCAGGGTATTAATAATAGTACCATAATAGCACCAGGGCAATGGACAGGCTCCTCTGTCCTCTTTCAGTGGACACTTTGAGGGAGGAGCATAATCTGTATAATCTACAGAAATATAAAAAATTAGCATCTCTCTCTCTTTTTACCAGAGAAATGAGAGAATCTAACTCTTTTGTTAGTATGGCCTCCAAAAGCTGTAGCCTCATTCACTTGCTTTCTGCTCCTAGAGTTTAGACTGATTTCCTAAAAAATAGAAACATGTACTTTTTAAATTTTATTAATAATGGTGGCATATCTTTATTTTGCTTGCAATACATTGTATTATGAAGCAACTGGCTCTGCTCTGGTGGTCTCTTCATTCGTTTCCCTACCTCCTGGAAATTACTGTATGATGCTGGGATGTTATCAAGTTGATAAGCTATTCAGTAAGCACTGTATATGTGACCATAATTGACAAAAGGTACCTTATGGCGGGTAGTGAAATTTGTCTTTCTAGCCTAAGAAATCCAACTTCCTGAGCCCCATTTATCATAAAATTACTCCACAGGATGCAAAAAGTTACCATGAAACTTTTAGAAACAATGATTGTCTAACAAAGCACTCACAGGTTGATAATTTCCAGTATAACAATCAATTTTAAAATCCGCCATAAGGGCCCTTTTGTCAATTATGGTCACATATGTCTTCTCCAGATCAGAGATGAATGCAGTAAATGTTGGAGGTACATGTAGCATCAACGTCAGGTTTTTTGGCAATAAACATTTAAACTTGTGATCACCTACACAAGGGAAGTGGTTTTCTTGTGTGGTTATTTCACACTTCAGCACTTTCTCCTCTTATAGTGACTGATACAGGAGGATGGACACAGTTTTCATACTTCGTCAATATCCATTGCAAAATACTGTATAAAAGGAATAATATAATAATTATATAGCTTATTGGTACTTGCATCTTTCAATTTTAATTCTGGATTTAAGTCCTCATGAGGGACTATTATGAAACGTTTTGTTTGTGAACTATTTTCTAATTTAAAAATGGAATAAGTTACTTACTTAGTATTCTCGCATATGTTCTTACGAGCTTTGGAATTTGTGGAATGCTGTCTTTAAACACTGAGTTTTTGTGATGATCAATAAAGTAAGCAATGAACTAGATATACTTATGTTTTTCAATAATGATGGTAATCCGTCCTCTTTCAGTAGACACTTTGAGGGAGAATCATAATCTGTATACTCTGTAGAAATGTAAAAAGTAGCATCTCTCTCTCTCTTTCTTTACCAGAAAAAAAAGAGGGGATCTAACTCTCTTGTTAGTGCCTCCAAACTTTGAATGCACTAATATAATAAAGTATACATAATATAGAGGCTACACTGTAGAGAGCCAATGCTATGTATCAGTAACTTACTCCCTCAGCAATCTTATGTCTGGCTCAGCCCAATCTACACTGGTACATGTACTACTTTCCTCATCATTATCACATAATGTATAATTATGAATGGTAAAGTTAACAATTGGTTTTCTTCTAGCATTCTCCTATAATAATAATAATAAAACAAGATAATGTAATAAAACCAAAATTACGGACAACAATTTGGCCAACATGTACGTGCTCCACTAGAACAGATCAATTATACTTGTACTTATCAATTACAAAGCTTATAATAAACTAATAAAAAATGACACGAAATACTGATTAAGAAGAATCCCAGTATGCACATGTTTAGCACTAATTATTAGTGATTAATCAACACAGTTAATTAATAAACCATACTACATGTGTATTCATACTTTGAATGGACGCTTTGAGGGAGAAGCATGAGAATCTGTAGAAATATAAAAATTAGCATCTCTCTCTCTCTCTTTACCAGTGAATCTAACTCTTTTGATAAACTTTGGCTTGTCACTAGAAGAGATACTCTTTAAATACTGAACTAGCTGAACTGGATTGGCACTTTCAACGTTATATGCAAAAAATTACGGATCATCTTGCAGTGTACAGTAGAATTTGCATCACAAGAGTAGGATTATCATTTTGTATCTTTGTTGGTCAATCAGAATCTTACATTTACTTGTTCTTATTTCCATTGCTTACTACAAATTTGCTATAGAATCCTATCTTGCATAATCAGTCACAGAAAGATGCCGTTACAAAGAAAGAAAAAAAATCACCCGAGACATCATGTCACTAGTAGCTCTTCTATCATTCTGGTATCATGTGCTCTGGCAACAACAATAAGATAATAAAGGCAACAAATAACACGTAAAACATTGAAAAATAGAAAATATGGCCTGTAATTATTTATTAGTTCAACTTTCGCTTTTTGCATATTGTAGTGATGTACTAGTCTTGAATTTATTGCCTTGGCCTGTCTATCCATTTATTCAGGACCATCATTGAAAAATAGAAAGATATGCCCTGTAACCGGAGTAGGTGGGTTATCAGGAGAGCCTCCTCCTCCTTTTCCCACCAGTTAAGTACTCCCTCCTCTTCTTCGGGTGCTCCTCCGTTTTTCAAGTGGCACTTACACTCCTCCCTGGTACTTGTGGTATTGCTTAGCCAAAAGTGGGTGGAGCTGTCTTGTGGTTTGCCACAAATACGACATTATGTCCTTTGCCATTGACCCTCCTCCTAAGAATTTTTTAAAAGTTAATAAATTGCTTTAAAACATTTACCTCCTCTTGATCTTCAATACAATTGACACGTCTCTCATCAGACACACCCTCTTCCTTCTATACCTTTTTCAAATCGGCCCATATCTCTGAGCCTCAGCCTTATCTAGCTTGTCCATCTTATGATGAAATGGATACTCCCTCGCATGGAGAAAGCCAAGTAATTTTTTAAATAAATTAAAATACCGCTTTGATGGCTTGCATTTGCTTGAGCAAAGTATCTTAGTATCCTTAGCATCCACAGTCACGTACAAACTGCACCTTTCGATTATTCAATAATTGTTATAATTATGAACAGATTTTATAATCCTTTAAATGTTTCTTTAAATCTTGGTGAGGATCATTTAGCAGCAATAATGGAACTAACATTGAGATGATCTGCACCAGACTTTTTAATTACTTTTTTGATTCAGCTCTTCCCCTATCGCTCAAATAAATACTATTATATCTTCACTTGGCCTTGTTTTCCTTGGCCTGTCCCAGCTCTCCAGTAGATTATTCTTTTTCCTGGAAAGAAACCAACAAAATACTTATGTTTTTCAATAACGATGGTAATTTTTCAAATAAGCATATTAAATTCAACTTGGCCTGTCATATATTATTTTATCTTTTCGACACATGTAAGTATCTAAAGAAGAAATAAAATTAGTGATCTTTTAAACAGATGAACAACAATATACTGTTACACATAATTCATTGTCATCTGGCAATGAATGTTACTTTGCCTTCTTGTTTTTTCCATCATTTTATTCAGAGGACTTGAAGTGATCTCGTTCTGGTTGCACAAGTTTCTTTCAAGTTTCTAACAGCTTGTCTACCAGCTCTTCAGCATATCCACCATGACACTGGGTCTGTTTGGGTCTGTTTTGTACTTGTTGGCCACAAGTACCACTTCATGTCCTTGTTCTCCTCCTATAAAATTTTTGAAAGTTAATAAATTGCTCGAAAACATTTTCCTACTCTTCAATGGACAAAAATAATTCTACTTTTAAATAATTCTAAATTGGCCCGTATCTCATCATGCAATGGGTACTTCCTCTCATGAAGAAGAGCAAGCAAGAGAATGATCACCTTCCTTAATTCAACTGTAGATTGTACTAAATTATAAAGAGGAGATAGCCAGTAGATACAGGTGTCTACTACATTGTCACAGTCTTGCCTCAATTAATAAATCAAATATGTCGATACCAGCCACCCTCCTTCCTCACAGGTAAAAGTCTTGCAGGACTCAATGGCCTTCATGTTTATTCCATTATAAAGCAGCTGGTTCTGCTCTGGTAGTCTTTTGACCCTTTATGCAAAAGAATTCATGTCTTTATATGAGTAATTTACCCAGCAGCATTGTCTCTAAAATTGTAACTTGCTTCATTATTTGTGCTCCTTCACTTCCCTCTTCTGATGTTTTTTTCCTTGGAACTCACTGCTACAACATGAATACATGATACTTGCATGAATAGTTGATAGATACCTTTGCTACTAGTTTTTTGCCCAGTAATACTTGAATTTGCCTCATGACTAAAAAGGTCTTGGGATTCCACTGTATAGCCTATGAACATTTGGGAAAATGATTATAGATCTATGTACACAAAAAATAGTGCTAAATTGCTAATTATGAAAGTGAATTGTCAAAGTAAGCTTATTGATTGATCTCTCTTTGTGATTTTGCTGGTCTTCCTTTACCTCGTCTCCTAACTTCTGAGTCATCTGAAACAATAATAATGCATTGGAATTTTAATTATACAACTAGTTGTAGTATCTATGGTCAGACAGTCACAGAAGAAGCTTGAAGATCTAGTCACGTGACGTCACACAATGTGTGTGATCGACCATATGGTTACATTTAGTCTCGTGGGGCCAGGTTCCACCCCTTTCTGACATTTGGATGGCGGGTGGGGTATTGTTGAATGTTTCCTGCACAGATACAACTAATCTGTACAGGAAACATATCCAATCATTCTTCCCAGCAACGTGAAGTGGGACCTGTTTTTTATTGTTAATTTTCTATGTTCTAATTATTGCCCCCCTCAGTGTCTCGCCTGTTTTGTGACAGTGTGAGTTTCAAAATGGATCTAATACTTGACATCAATAGGCAGCTCTACAAGCTCCACCTTTTATTGACTACAACACTTAGAGAAGACGGGCTACTTTGGGAGTGTATGGTCATAGCAGCACCTAGCTCATTCTTTTGTGCTTATTTTTCAAATGATAGTTTTCCCTTTATAATGGCATTTTTCTATTATTAATTTTTCTATACATCTTTATGACGGCACTTAGCAGAATGGCACTCCTCTCCTGGTTACTGGATTCATCAGCTACTACAGCTGCAGCTCCTATCACCAGTCACAGAGGATTCACTGTACAGTAATGGAGGAAACTGCATGACACTGTGGCAAGCATCTCTCTTCTGTTGCTAAAACTTTTAACATATATCCATTACCCTCAACATAAAAGTGAAAATAGTTGAAAGAATTAAGGTTCTTGATAAAAAGAAATGGCTATGGCATCATCTTCATTGTTTTCACTTGATGATGGCAGTATTAACAAGCATTGGTCTCATGGCAACAATAAGTTAACTTTACTGGTCACGTGATCACATCCTTTTAATGTCATCCTTACTATGTGTACCTTACATCCTACCCTTACACCTGTTTTATGATCTCTCTCTCTCTCTTTAGTGCCACACTGTGTAAAGTAATAGCAGAGGATAAATAAGGACAATCTCTTTCAAGTTAGTATCATTCATTATATTTTTAGTATATACTTATCAGTAGAGCCTCAACGTTGGAAGGACAATTAGAAGAAGTGGTAATCAGTGGGATCCAGGAGTTTAAGTAAGCCACACCTGAGTTACAATATCCACTTTTATTTTCTCTTGTTTCTATTACTTTTTTGATGAATTTTTTATTTGAAGCCCATGGTTTTTTCCAAAAAATGGCTCCAAAATCACCCCAAATTTTTATTACATTTTCTGATACATATTGATGTACTTATGCTGTGTAGAAAGTTTGAGCTCATTCCAAGCTCTAATTTTTGAGTTATGACCATTTTAAGAAATTGGCCAATTTTTAAAAATTTCCCTGTACTATAGCCCATGGTTTTTTCCAAAAAATAGCTCAGAAATCACCCCAAATTTTTATTACATTTTTTTGGATACATATTGATGTACTTATGCTGTCTAAAAAGTTTGAGCCATTTTTTAAAAAAATAACAATTGCTATTTGGCTCCAAAATCACTGCTAAATTCTATTACATTTTCTTTATTTTATGTAGCATTAATCACATTCTTTATTTCTTTTCTAGTAACTCAAACACTTTCGGTAATAGTAGGCCCCAAATCCTGTTGTTTCTTAAAAGACCTTGGTAGGCTAGGACTATGTTACGTACAGACGACCCTCACTCTTATAAGTACCTTATGCAATGTCTATCTGTTGCTATCCAAAAGAGCAATATGGCGTCTGTTCTGGCTGGGTTCGTTGGGCTAGGAGAGCTCGGACTTTATTGCTTGACTAACTATTATATATTATTATTTATTATTATTAATAATTATTATATATTTGTTTTGAATTTTTACCAAGTTTGTTATTTTAGTATTTATTACATATTCATTGTCAGAGCACCTCTAGCAGCTGCATACCTCTAGTCTTGTGTAGCCAGATCCAAATTGTCAAAAAGGGGATGGGTCTGGCTATGTGAGACTAACTTGAGCCTGAAAGGGAGGGAAGGATCTCATGTATTGGAGGAAACCTTTTACAACAGGACCCGAGGACTTGGTAAGACCTCTCACTAAAAAGGATATTCGGCAATTGTCCTCTAAAGTTAAGTTAAAGTCGGATTGCTCTATATCACAAAGACTGTACTCTGCCATTACGGCAGTCGACAACTCCTCCCACTGGCACTGATAAAATTAAAGAAATGGCTGCACCTCCTTTCAAAAATAATGGGGACCTTTTTAACATGTATATACATGTACACAAAAAAAGACAGTTAAATGTACACACACACACAAAAAAGAGTTGATCTTTCAATAAGTCATTTTCTTTAATAGTAAGTACACATTCATGTCCATCATCATCATTAGTCCTTGTAAATTGTTTCCTTTCAATCTCATCAGTAGTCCCCCAAAAGAGACATACACTGATCTATAAAAGAAGTATGATCCATTTAATAATAACTAGGTGAATGTAAACATTGATGGGGTAAGCATGAGCTATCAACGCGGCTTACTTAGCTTGACTTGATTGAAATAAAATAAAATGAATTTAATCTATATAGCTCTCAGTCTAATAAGAGACAAAGCATTCACCTCTCTAGTCTCTGAAACCATTACCTGTATGAGGTCGGGGTCTGAACAGAGCAAATATCATCGATTGTAAAATAAAAATAAAATAAATTGATTCTAATCTAGCTCTTGATAGAGAAAAGAAGATTCATCCTTGTTTCAAGACCATTAACTGCATGCATATTCAGACCCCAACCTCACGGTCGGAGTCTGAACGGTGCAAATATCACCTGTCACAATAAAAGAGACAAGAAACAGTCCCATCACTCTGAGGTAACTTAAGAACCAAAGCTAAACTTCTAGTCACAATCTTAATTCTATCAATGAGAGGACTAATCTAGATGAGTCTTAGTCTTAAATCAAACTAGAGGCTATCGATTGTCAAATGATTATTCTTCAACAAAAAACTTGCACAAGCACTGTAGCTCACCAAAATTAATCTTATAAAGTTTCCTTAAGTTTCCAGACTTTACAGAGCTGATGGATGAGCCTTAAGGGATGCTTGAGATAGCTCTTCTCTCTTATCTAGCTGTTAGAAAACTCGACAGTTTGTCCCGTTTAAATGCCGCCATCTTGTTTATTGTGACCACACCCTCATACTGTCCTATTTCAATATTTCTTTTTACACTTAAAGAGGAAGCATTTCCAGCCAATTTTAATATTAGACGGCATACGGAATACATATCGCAAGGCCTCGATTGGGACCGGGGCTACGCTCATGCTCGCCCCAATAATCTCTTCTTAACTCACAATGAATCCTCAGCTCCTTCTAATCTATAAATTTTGCCATACATTATATATTGAAATGTGTCTGCTAAGGAGGAGGTGGCACCATCTGTCAAAAATAAAATACATTCAATTATGAGAATAATTTTGAGTTAGGGCCATTTTAAAAATGAGTCAAATTTTTAAAATTCGCCTGTACAAAAATGGCTCCAAATCACACCAAATTTTTTTTACATTTTCTGATACATATTGATGTACTTATGCTGTGTAGAAAGTTTGAGCTGATAGACCACCCAGAGTGAGAATTGCTTGCGTGGGAAGACTATTACGGTTGTAAGGCGTGGTTTAGGATGAAATAAATTCTGGCCGCCATTTTGGTTGGCAACTTTCAATGGAGAACAAACGGGCCGACATAAAAACAAACCTGTATTAAGAATTCTGGAGCGAATTTGACCAAATCTTTTACAGGAGAAGCTTAAAGGTAGCTATTCTTTCTTATAACAAGCAATTTTTAGCTTCTGATAGAGCTACAGCAGGTAAGCGAGGCATTTTCTTTGTGCCTCCATTGACTTCCTTATACAAACTTGCCAACCAAAATGGCTGCCAATTATGGCGTGTGGGCGGATACCGTATATAAAATTGATGAAATTTATAGTTTTTGCAATTCTCATTCTAAGTGGTCTATTCTGACTTCAATTTTCAAGTTACAGCCATTTAAAGATCTATTACCCGTTACCCTTGACCAATGGGTACCTGTCACTGTGGGAAAGTCTTCATGGTCTGCTCCTAGTGTGGTGGTCAAAAGAAAATGAATGTTATCTCCAACATTCATGGGGTACAGTTGTGTGTTTATATCCAGAATTAACTGGATTTTGTTAAAATTCTCCCCTTCACAAAACAAGCGAGACACTGAGGGGGGCAATAATTAGAACACTTCATTAGTCAGTATAATGTACGTACCTCTTTCAAATTTTTTTTCAATGTCTTTTATTTGAAAAAAACTTTCAAAAACTGGACCCGAGGACTTGGTAAGACCTCTCACTGGAAAGGATATTCGACAATTGTCCTCTAAAGTTAAGTTAAAGTCGGATTGCTCTATATCACAAAGACTGTATTCATTACCTAGACTACCTTTGTTGTCGTGGTAAAGAGTAAGTTCAGCATCCTCTTCAGAAGAGGAAGGCTCTTCAAGGCTAGTTCTTCTTCCAGACATGACAACGTGCAACTCAGTCTCACACGAGGTCTCACATGTCCAGAAAAATGAAATGAGTGAACACGGACTAGTATACTGAGAAATTTTCTCCGTATACTGCCGATTGTGATCAGGCCAGGGCATGAATCGAGGCATGAATGGACTTTGTTTCCATTTTACTAGGCTACATAAGTATCATCAATTTGTTCACTTCACTAGCTGTTCTTGATCTTCCTCCTGAATATGATAGCAGTTGAAGTAACTTTGTGTGGAACAGGCTCATAGCAACAATGAGTTAACTTTACTGGCAGACTACAGTGTGACCAGTGACCACATCCTTTATCCTACGTAATCCAGCCAGACTATATCCTACGTGTGTCCTACATCCTACCTTGACATCTATTTTATGACATCTCTCTCTCTCTCTCTTTAGTATCATACTGTGTAAAGTAATAGCAGAGGATAAGGACAGTCTCTTTCAAGTTAGTATCATTCATTATATTAATTGTTACTATTGACATAGATAATAGAGTAAATGAATAATAGAGTAATTCATTTACTCTAATATCTATGCTATTGACTTATCAGTAGGGCCTCATCCCCCCCCCTCTCATTGGCCTCGCCTACGCGAGGTATAGGTAGTTGTTGTGTGTGTCTGTCATTCATTCATTCTGTACAACTGAAATTTGTTTTTAATAAACAATAACTTTAGCACAGCGTGTTCTAAGCTCCTAGACCTTTCTTTTTGACGTGGAAAAGTCTTTCTTAACTGTTTTGTGTTGCTCAAATACAAGTACTAGGTACAGAAGCTTCAAAGTAAGAAAATCGAGTAGTTGGGCAAAGCTCCGTTGTGTTGGCACTTTAGAGATAGCTGGTAGCATTTTTCAGTAGATTAGAACATGGCCTTCAAAAATTATGAACAGATTTTTCTAAATCTTACTTGATGAAGAGTTATACTTACTTGAAATTGTTGAGGTCACTCGTTTGTGCAGCACTAGAGCAACAACTTGCTGGGTTATAGGTACTAAAGTACCTATACTATCTCAAATATACAAAGGCAGCAACTTTTTTTGTCAGCAAGTTTATCATATATTGCTGATTAGTAAAGAAAAAGTGAAGCTTCTTTCTCACATGGTCTTCTTGCTGTGCCACTCATGGAATGCCACACCTTTCAATCTACATGCATGGGAGGGGCTGGAGCTGCTTGCATATTTGTGCTGCTACTTCTGCAGGTATTCAAGAGCAAGTGCAACTGTAGGAAGCTAGTATTGAGCAGACTCTCTTCATGCTGATAATCAAACAGTTATTGAAGTGCGGGCATGCACCATAGCAGCTATAGGGGCGAGGCCATGCACCGTAGGTGTCTCGTTTTTATTACATTTTCTGATACATATTGATGTCCTTATGCTACGTAGAAAGTTTGAACTGATTCCGAAGTCAAATTTTTGAGTTACAGCCATTAAAAAAACGAGCCAATTTCTCAAAATTTCCCTGTACTATAGCCCATGGTTTTTTCCAAAAAACGGCTCCGAAATTACCCCCAATTTTTATTACATTTCTGATGCATATTGATGTCCTTATGCTATGTAGAAAGTTTAAGCTGATTCTGAAGTAAAATTTTCGAGTTACAGCCATTAAAAAAATGAGCCAATCTCTTAAAATTTCCCTGTACTATAGCCCATGGTTTTTTCCAAAAATGGCTCCAAAATTACCCCCAATTTTTATTACATTTTCTGATACATATTGATGTACTTATGCTATGTAGAAAGTTTGAGCTGATTTTTGAAAAAGAACAACAGCTATTTGGCTCCAAAATCACTGCTAACACTTGTTACATCTTCTGATCTCATGAATCACATTCTTCATTTCTTTTCTAGTAACTCAAACACTTAATTGGGATATGAATTAGTCTCGTCGACAAGACTAGCGGTCAATATTAATAATAGGATGATATTGATTGGTATATTTGTATTTCAATATTTTACAAACTTTACTATTTTAGTATTTATTACATATTTATTGTTATTTATTATACAAGCAGAATCATTATTATCAATGCGAATTATTAAAATAGCATACTTAGCCACATGCACAATACTTGCTGTTTTCATAAAATTTAATGATGTGCTCTATTGATCAAGCACCTTATCTCTTGTTGTGGCAAGTCCATTGCTGTGATAGTTCTCTGATTCTATCCAACTTCAGGTTGCTTGGCCACCCAACTGTACTGGTCCCTTTCAAACTACTTGGAGTCTGAAAGGGAGGGAAGGATCTCGTGTTCGAGGAAACCTTTTACAACAGGACCCGAGGACTTGGTAAGACCTCTCACTAGAAAGGATATTCAACAATTGTCCTCTAAAGTAAAGTTAAAGTCGGATTGCTCTATATCACAAAAGCCATTACTAGATACTGCAGTCAACAACTCCTCCCACTGGCACTGATAAAATAAATTAAAGAAATGCTGCACCTCCTTTCAAAACAATGGGGACCTTTTTAACATGTACACAAAAAAGAGCTAAATGTACACACACAAAAAATAGAGTTACATGAACACAAAAAATAGAGTTACATGAACACAAAAAATAGAGTTACATGAACACAAAAAATAGAGTTACATGAACACAAAAAGTAGAGTTACATGTACACAAAAAATAGAGTTACATGAACACAAAAAATAGAGTTACATGAACACAAAAAATAGAGTTACATGAACACAAAAAATAGAGTTACATGAACACAAAAAATAGAGTTACATGAACACAAAAAATAGAGTTACATGTACACACACACACACACACACACACACACAAAAAAAAGAGAGTTGATCTTTCAATAAGTCATTTTCTTTAATAGTAAGTACACATTCATGTCCATCATCATCATTAGTCCTTGTAAATCGTCTCCTTTCAATCTCATCAGTAGTCCCCCAAAAGAGACATACACTGATCTATAAAAGAAGTATGATCCATTTAATAATAACTAGGTGAATGTAAACATTGAGGGGGTAAGCATGAGCTATCGACGCGGCTTAGCTTGACTTGATTGAAATAAAATAAAATGAATTTAATCTAGCTCCTAGTCTAATAAGAGACAAAGCATTCACCTCTCTACTCTGTGAGACCATTACCTGTATGAGGTCGGGGTCTGAACAGAGCAAATATCATTGATTGTAAAATAAAAATAAAATAAATTGATTCTAATCTAGCTCTTGATAGGGAAAAGAACATTCATCCTTGTTTCAAGACCATTATCTGCATGCATATTCAGACCCCAACCTCACGGTCGGAGTCTGAACGGTGCAAATATCACCTGTCACAATAAAAGAGACAAGAAAAAGTGCTGCCACTCTCAGGTAACTTAAGAACCAAAGCTAAACTTCTAGTCACAATCTTAATTCTATCAATGAGAGGACTAATCTAGATGAGTCTTAGTCTTAAATCAAACTAGAGGCTATCGATTGTCGAATGATTATTCTTCAACAAAAAACTTGCATAAGCACTGTAGCTCACCAAAATTAATCTTATAAAGTTTACTTAAGTTTCCAGACTTTACAGAGCTGATGGATGAGCCTTTAGAGATGCTTGAGATAGCTCCTCTCTCTAAGACTCTCTTATCTAGCTGTTAGAAAACTCGACAGTTTGTCCCATTTAAATGCCGCCATCTTGTTTATTGTGACCACACCCTCATACTGTCCCATTTCAATATTTCTTTTTACACTTAAAAGAGGAAGCATTTCCAGCCAATTTTAATATTAGATGGCATACGGAATACATATCGCAAGGCCTCAATCGGGACCGGGGCTACGCTCATGCTCGCCCCAATAATCTCTTCTTAACTCACAATGAATCCTCAGCTCCTTCTAATCTATAAATTTTGCCATACATTATATATTGAAATGCATCTGCTAAGGAGGAGGTGGCACCATCTGTCAAAAATAAAAAACATTCAATTATGAGAATAATTTTGAGTTAGGGCCATTTTAAAAATAAATCAAATTTTTAAAATTCGCCTGTACAAAAATGGCTCCAAAATCACACCAAATTTTTTTTACATTTTCTGATACATATTGATGTACTTATGCTGTGTAGAAAGTTTGAGCTGATAGACCACCCAGAGTGAGAATTGCTTGCGTGGGAAGACTATTACGGTTGTAAGGCGTGGTTTAGGATGAAATTAATTCTGGCCGCCATTTTGGTTGGCAACTTTCAATGGAGAACAAACGGGATGACATAAAAACAAACCTGTATTAAGAATTCTGGAGCGAATTTGACCAAATCTTTCACAGGAGAAGCTTAATGGTAGCTATTCTTTCTTATAACAAGCAATTTTTAGCTTCTGATAGAGCTACAGCAGGTAAGCGAGGCATTTTCTTTGTGCCTCCATTGACTTCCTTATACAAACTTGCCAACCAAAATGGCTGCCAATTATGGCGTGTGGGCGGATACCGTATATAAAATTGATGAAATTTATAGTTTTTGCAATTCTCACTCTAAGTGGTCTATTCTGACTTCAATTTTCAAGTTACAGCCATTTAAAGATCTATTACCCGTTACCCTTGACCAATAGGTACCTGTCACTGTGGGAAAGTCTTCATGGTCTGCTCCTAGTGTGGTGGTCAAAAGAAAATGAATGTTATCTCCAACACTCATGGGGTACAATTGTGTGTTTACATCCAGAATTAACTGGATTTTGTTAAAATTCTCCCCTTCACAAAACAAGCGAGACACTGAGGGGAGCAATAATTAGAACACTTCATTAGTCAGTATAATGTACGTACCTCTTTCGAATTTTTTTTCAATGTCTTTTATTTGAAAAAAACTTTCAAAAACTGGACCTGAGGACTTGGTAAGACCTCTCACTGGAAAGGATATTCGACAATTGTCCTCTAAAGTTAAGTTAAAGTCGGATTGCTCTATATCACAAAGACTGTATTCATTACCTAGACTACCTTTGTTGTCGTGGTAAAGAGTAAGTTCAGCATCCTCTTCAGAAGAGGAAGGCTCTTCAAGGCTAGTTCTTCTTCCAGACATGACAACGTGCAACTCAGTCTCACACGAGGTCTCACATGTCCAGAAAAATGAAATGAGTGAACACGGACTAGTATACTGAGCAATTTTCTCCGTATAGACTATGTTTTCTACTTTTCTTACAGGATAGGTATGCTTATGGGAGATACACTCCACCTATTGATCCAATACAGAACTGGTTCTTAACTAATGCTGAGGTAGAAGATGGATATACTGTCCTTGAGTTTTACTGTAACTTTATCACCTGTGATGATTGCGATCTATTATACTTGTAAGAATCACTGAATATCATAATTATTAATCTTTCATATTCACATCATGCATGAAGTATGAAACGGCTCATGTAGTATACACTTGGAGCAATAACAAACCAACAGTCACAAGAGAAACAGATGACTCCATAACTTATACAATATCAAGACATGCATAACAATCAAGGCACAAGAAGAATCTTCTTGGGGCATTACCAAGCCCTCCTAGAATACCTGACAATACCCAATCCTTTACTGTATCTGCAAGTCAGGTACCACTTTACAGTTAATAGCTTCACTCATACCAATGTGATACTATACAGGTAGATGTACCAAGGGTAACCACTACTTACTGGTTTGAAGCTATGAAACTTTCTCCTGCCCTCACTTACAATATGAAATACATCATTAAAGTACATAAATGATTTGTTTTGCTTCAGCTCGAACTTTTTTATTTTAGTTTTCTCCTCATAGTCACTTCTGGGAATGAGCCATTTGTCTATCATATTGTCATTTATTTATGTGATGGTCTTTATGAATCAGATCTTGGAGCTGAAGGATCAGGAGAGTGCTATGGGGGTGTTAGTGATCATGTTGCTGACTGCAATCCCATTTGCTGTATGGGGAGTAGGAGGAAGTGTAAGTATTAATAATTTATTTTCAATATATTTTTTATTTTTTGATGTAGGATTTTACTTTTCCTAGTAACATTGCTTATCTATCCCATTGGAGGAGCTAAAAGTCCTCATTATGCAGTCATTGAATTACACTACAATAATCTGGATCACATCTCAGGTTAGATTAGTTAATTTATTTCAATATTCTATCTCCTCTCTCAGGTATTGTTGATAGCTCAGGCATTGAGTTCACATACATTGATACTCCAAGAGAATATAATGCTGGAGTGATGACTGTTGGTCACATTAATGATAATACAATGGTTATTCCACCCAATACAGTTGATTACTCAGTAACTGGCCTTTGTCTTCCAGAATGCACAAGAAATGTATAAATAAAAGCATGTACATGTATAGTTCCAATAGCTTTTTGCTTCCTTTAGTTCCTACCTCCTGATGGTGTCAAGGTATTTGCCAACATGTTCCACACTAATACAGCAGGTATAGTTATACACAATAAACTTTTATTTTGCATTAAATCATAAAACAGGATCAAAGCTTATCGTTTGTCATATTAGACATTTGGAGTGTTCTCCAGGTGTCTCAAGATATGAAGAGCTTAGCCCAATTGATAAAAATTATCATTATATGACTTCAATTTCCAGCAGTTTAACCACTTAAAAAAAGAAATAACTGTACTACCAGTATGCTTGTAACAAATTTTCTCATTGTTTAAAATAAATTATAGGGTGACAGCTTGATGCTGGAGTGCTACTACAATACAAGCAACAGGAATAAAATTACAATGGTTAGACATATGCTTCATACATTACTCAAAGTTTACTGCTATCACAGGGAGGTATATATAAGCAGTACAGATGAGATGTGTGTAGCAACATTACTCTATTATTCTCGTGTAGAAAGAGCTGACTGTGAAAGTACACCAACCTTTGATCAGTTTAAAATCTTTGTAGAACAACATGTTCCGTAAGTGTAAAGTATTGTACTATTTTATATACTTTCTGCAAAAACACAGATCTGAATACAGGAATCTGTTTGGTTCTTTAAGTGCCAATTCTAGTCAAGAGAAAATGGAGACAGCAATGAACTTATTAGACTGGACTCCTGAACAAAAAGAATCATACCAAAAATTAATTTACAAAAATGGAAACAATCAACCAGATGCCTGCCACCTGAAACAGGAAAGGTATAAATTCTAATAACTTCAATGTATTGTATCTCATTGCTTTTAACAGACGATTATAAGTACAGTTTCTCAAGTATGCTGTTCATATACATCACCACAATCCTGTAGCAATGAAGAGCAAGTACTGCCATGTTGTAAAAGAGAATGTGCGCAAGAGGTTTCTAGAGGAAGTGCTGGTACAAGCAGTAGTGACACACAGATCATCATTCTCATCTTGCTAACTGCAATCACTTTATTCCTATTGGTCTTGGTCACTATATTTTGGCCACAAATTAGTCATCATTACCTAACTTGATTAATTATTTTTGTCGCCTCACACCATCATACCAATGTAATTAAAATTTCCAAGTCAAATAAATTATAATTCATGTGACTTTATAATAACTATTTATATCAATAACAAAATTTTAATTTTTGACACTATATAAATTATGTGAGCTAAAAGAATTCATTAATGTCTCTTTCCCCTAAAGCCTCCTCCAGTTCCACTTCCTCTTATGTATACTAATATCTACAAGAAAGGAAACAAATATAAAACCTAATCTTCACCTATGCAGAGCTGGATGAGGCAAAAAAGAGTTATAACATAAACCTATTACTATTAGCAACATCAATAAAGATGAACTTGGCCCATAGATTAGTACAAATAGCAACTCTAAGAACTTATTTTAAGGAACTTGGTATCGGAGAAAATTTGATCAGAGAAGTTAGTCTAGTACTGTAGTACACTTGAAAGGTTTAGGTGAAGTGTATTGTTACATTTTATTCTATAAATCCCATCTCTCCTAAGTACCTTGTCAATATTTGCCAATACAAATATAACTATCAGTGCCACAAAAATACCAACAAAAGATCCTCTGTAACTGTTACCATTAGCTAATGGGACTGACTACACAGAAGATAAACATAAAATATGTGCAAGATGCTATTCTGTATACTTACTTCGGCTGTAACATTAAAAGTGACATGTGTGTCCCTCCCAGCTGTTAGAGAGACATTTGAATTAGAAACAGATACCTTGTAAGACTGAGAGTATAACAGACTGGAATCCAACTGAACATAATATGGCTTCTATTTATATAAAAGTGATGACAATGAGAGATATAGTTAAAACATACTGAATTATTACGAGGGAGAGGTGGCATACGAAAGAAACCAATAGGATCAGTTCCTACTGAAAATACTTGAGACTCCAAATACTTATCACTGTACAGACCAACCTGTACAAAAGAAATATCTACATGCACATTGACACACAATGATCATGCTCACTGTAATGTAAGTTAATAGGTCCAAATTATTAATGATGACATTTCCAGTTACATAAACTCGTTCATTCTTTAGCACTGCAATAAAGCTCTCTCCTTCAATATCCTTTTCACTTAACTAACAGAAAAATGAAGGTATACATGTACACGTATACTGAACTAATTTACTGTAAAATGGCGAGTGACAGGTAGCCCTTTCTCAATCATTGATTCATCATTAGTTGCTAACGACAGCTGATACTGACACTTAGGCTAATGGAATATTAATGAATCCATTTATTTAATATTCTTATTCTGTTACCTGTAAGCCTCTAAATTTATAGTGTCCTTCCTTATCAGTGAGTACAGCATCATGATAACTCTTGCAATGACCTTCATTATCTACTTGAGAAACTAACTAAAAAGGGATGAGTGTTTGTGGGTGTGCCAATGTACATGTTACCTCCACACTAACTGACTCTAACGGAGACCCATTGAGAGACAAGACTTTACCACTACAACTGAAATAAATACCATAATAATAATGATTTGCATGAAGTTTATAAGTGCATGTAAAAATACAAAATGTACATTAAGGTGCAAATAACTATTGCAATTTATAGTTAAACTCTTAAAAATCAATATTGTATAGTAGAAAACATTGGTGAAGTAATTGGAGTTAAAATTTGGTGATTGGTCAAAATCTGCTATTTTTTGTTCTGAGCATGCCATGGCTGCTAATCCCCCACAAAAATGCCAATCAATGCATTCATAGAATTGCCCATATACTAATGCTGCGTTTACACTACAGAAGTGGGCCAAACTGTGCTGAACCAGGCTGAGCTGGCTCTGCTGTACTAACCATGCTAGCTCACTTCAGCTCAGTTTGGTTACTGTTTACACTATCAAATGAAGCTGTGCTGGCCCACTTTGAACAGGGCTGGCTCAGTTAAAGAAGCTAGTGTAAACACAGTATAAGTGCCCTGCTCCATGTACATATGTATCTGATACCATACAAGATGATTAATTGGCAAGGAATTAACGCATGCATAATGACACATTAGGCACTGCATTGTAAATCATATAAAAATTGCCAATTACACCTATTTCGACAGACAAATTTGCCCAATATTAATAATCATCTTTTACAGTAGTTATTAACAAAACTGAAGTACATGAATAATTACATGTGCATACCATACTATACATGTCATGTACAAACCTAAAGGCAACTCTAAAGGCTTTAAAATCAACAGATAAATCTTCTCCTTGTTTCAAATCAACAACCTGTAAAAAAATCATAATAGAAAATGATGCAAATAATTGATATGGATGTACATTCATGTGCAAATTGTGAGTTATAAACACAATTACACAAAACTAATGATAAGTCATGACTGTATGTACTAACCATTGATGGAGGCTGAAATTCAAACTCCCTCAATAAAGGCTTTATATAGTATTGACCTGGGAGCTAATAAATTTATGTGTATTAATTAACTAAAAAGATTCCTTGTCTTACAATGTCACTGTATGCTACAAAGCCTTCTTCTGATGTAGTGGTAGAGTTTCTTAAGCCTTCACCATTCACTGATATCAATACACCTGCTAAAGGATTCTGAGTGGAATGATCACTGATCTGTAAGAGAGAGGGGATCACTAGAATGATTGTGGTTTTTCTAACTTTAATTGTAAGTTTTGATTTCTTTATTGCTTTAAAGGAGTGTAGGTCATCATCAAATGGTTCAAACGAATACTCTTCTAAATAAGGAACCTAAAAATAATTGAGTACAAATTTAAAATGAAATTGCAAAAAATTTTCAATTTCAATACTATTCAAAGTTTCAAACTTTAATTGCATTGTTGGACTCATAAAATAGACCTACATTCATGGCTATATACCTTACTCGGAATCAGCTCAAAGTTGATACACAACATGAAGATATGTACATGTACATGCACATGCATGCATATGTGTATATGTACAAAGAAATAAAAATTCTCTCGGAGCCATTTTTAACAAAATTTGACTAAAGGGCAAAGGCTATAGCTTCTAGTCGTTGGCTCAATTTTGAGCAACTGTAAAGCAATACTGTTTACATGAAAATACAATGATTTAATAGAATATAGTCATTGTACTTATAAATGCGTTTAATATTGACATCATGAAACATGTTTTAAGCTCAATTGACTCCTGTATAAAAGATGTTTTGTGAAACGAAGTTTCTACAGTGTATCATAGCCTTTAGCTTCATGCCTCTTAGAAGATGACTACAGCTGTTAAGTGTCATTCATTATTTAAATGTGCATGCTCCAAGCACACATGATAAATATCATGATAGTTAAAACAACAGTATCATAATCTTGATAATAGCTGTACAGCAATCTATACAATCGCTAAGCCTAATGCATACTGTATGTATCAGAAAAATTCTATAGAAAATTTTCTCATTTGTTGAGATCACTTTTTTGAGCAACTTGAACTGATAAGAAGCTGCATGAGCACTATGCAAAAATCTAGAGGGAAACTTGATGTACATGTACATGCTATATGCTAGTAAATGTACATGTACCACTGGTATGGCTGAAAACCATGTAAACTACAAGTCAACTCAAAAATTAGTAAAAGGAGAATTTTATTTACTTTAAGAAAAAAGGAGCAATACATTTATAATACAAACACAGTAGAGGGCATAATGACTCACCACAGTATATTTGGTTGATTCTGACAATGGTCCAACCTTATACTGGCCCTCATCATCTGTTGTTACATTATACTCATTGTCTCCAGTTGTTACTGTAATAGAAACACCAGAAAGAGGAGGATCAATCCGACCAATCACAAAGAAACCGTGACTACACTCAAATGGAGGAAGAGACTCCGGACAGTCTAAAACCAATAATATTTATAAAATATCATAAAAATATGTAATACAAACCGTTCTTAATGGTATAGTTGTATTTCTTGGGATAAAATAGGAGATTGGGAGATGTAGGACATAGAACAACCCATTCCTTTGGCCTAGAATAAATTGATAAAAATTGATGATTATAAATAAAAAATAACTATAGTGTACACTGTATGGTACATGCACATCGCAACAGCCAACAGAGCAAAGTAAAGGACACTTACTGTATAGCGCAAAATTTTCAAGGGCTGTAAATTTAGCAAATTATTTTGGTAAATCTTTAAAGATTTGTGAAAATTAATTCTGTAAAAATCAATTTCTTACATTCAAGATGGTAGACAAAATAGTTTTGCAATAATTAAATCCATAACATAGCTTTTGACAAAATTTACAGCCCTCAAAAATTTTGCACCATACAGTATGACACATGAAGTGACTAGCGGAGTAAAGACTCAACCCTAATACTGTTTAGAAGAATCAATGTGGTACACACACATACGCCAGGACTTACATGCAATTGGTTTCAAAGTGCCACTAGATTTTGATATTGTTAATTTTACCTCCAACAAAGTATTTATATATATATATATATAATGGAAATTAAATTTAAGTTGAGAATTGTACTATGAGCATACACAGTCATATAAGCATATAAAGATGGGTTCTCAAAGTGACAGGTGCGCTAGCGTCAAGAATGAAAGTGCTATAGAAACAAATGGGAGTAAGTGTCAATGCATCAGATTAGAAAAATTTTTCTCCTGATGCATACTCCCATTTGTTTGTACAGCACTTCCACTGGCACATGAAAAGAAATGTATCATATTGAGAGCCCAAAGACAGAAGAATTAGATTCATACATACATACATGGGCATATTAGTAACGCGTTAGCGTTACTAAGTAGGATTCACCCCCAAACAAAATGGCTGCCACGACTTTTGCAGCCTTGCTATACCGGGAAAACAAGCTACTATGCTTACCAGACTTCTTAGAGGACCTTATCTTGACCAGAGGACTCTATTGGTATCACTAGTGTGGCTCTAAACCTTGTCTAAGAGGAAAGTCAAAAATCAGCGAATCGGCCGTTTTGTTCAGCCACCTTTTTTCATCTTCATCTTCATCAAGTCAGTCCTGTCAAAAAAG